ATTGTTCGGAGCAGCGCATGGTCTTATCTTCTTACCAGTATTACTAAGTTATATAGGTAAGGAGCTGCTGTCATACAAACATAAATAATTATGACAGTTATCACACAATGTCATTTTCCATTGTTATTTATGCATGCCAAAAGTTTCTATTACACTTTTCGGTAACTCAATTTTTTTTATTTTGCATCAATAGATATTGTTTTGTATTTATCTTAAAAAATGCTTAATTAATTGTTTGGTGAGGAAATATAGCTTTGAGAATGGATAAAATGAAATGTAAAAAAAATTTTGATGTTATAAATGTATTTAGTTATATAATCCTTATATTTGAAAAATTATTGGTAATAACTAAACTATCAATTTATTTTTATCTTTTATGTATAATATATGTTGTTGCAAATTTCTGCATTTTGGATATAATGTAACTTCTAAAAACTTAATCTGAATTATTATTATTTTTTTTTACATATTGTTTCCTGGAGCTTAGTAAAGGTAGATTTTAATGTTTTATTTTAAAAAATGTAACTTTAGAAAAAAGGATGATTTGTATGTATTTGTTTTCTAATTTTTAATTATTTAATATTAAAATTTATGTTACTCACCAAGTATAAATATACTATTAATGCTTTATTGCATGAATTATTTTATTACAAACTTATTGCTGGATACACTTGATTAGCACTGCAGCTTTAAAAATGATCAGAAGTAGTGCGTGAAAGAAGCAAATTTCTAAATCTTCTATTTGAACACACCAGTGTTATATTAATTAAGATATATTAATTAAGATTTTATTTTCATATCCCTATGCGTACTGCGAACGGAATCTTTCGAGTTTTTCTTATGTTCGGCAGCTTTCACAAATTCGACAGAGATTAAATAGCAAAGTGAATTGAAATACTTTTTTGTCAAATCTCTTCACTACCGCCTGTACTTAATCTTCTTCACTGAGAGTTCTTTAAATGTACATTTCTGAATAATATGGACTGGTGTCATGGCCCCTGGTGGTTCTAGGCTCACCCATGAACAGAGAGAAATTGGCCAATCACAAGAGAGCATTGCGTGGAAATCTGGACAGCGTGCAAGAGACGTCTTTGAATCATCGTGTAAGCAAACACAATTCTCCCACATCCACTACAACCACACCTACGTTCAAAGTGCTTGAATGTGAGAGATAGGTATGCAGAGCATCTGAAAATAAAAAAAGGAATGCCCGCGTTTTGACACGTGGTAAAATTTCTTTGTATTTTTTTCTTCTATGTCCAAAAAATCTATCATCATACTTTCTATGTTGTTTATTCTGCACAGATAGTCTAAGTGAGTTTATAAGTGAAATGTTATTTGATATGTTTATTTAACGTTGTTATCATTATTTCTAACATGTGTGAATAAGCGACTAGGAAGTGCAATTTATTCTAATATCACAAATTTTTTCGATACTTTATTTTCTACTTAATACAGTAAATTGGAAGACTAATATAATGTTATATTCTTTCCCCTGTTTATAATTTAAATTTGCAGAACTACATAGTATATTCTGTATATCTATTTTATAAAACTGGAAAAACCTCAGAAGTACAATATTTTAATCTTCTACATGTAATCTTCTACATATTATTAAAGCTTTAGAAATTCAAAATGTGTATTATTAGTTTAACAAATATATGTAAATATATAATTTTTAATTTATTAATTCATTATGTATTTGTGTATTATATTATATAATTTTCACTTTAACATATTTATGTATTACATATTGAAAGTTTGATAAAGATGAATAGATATAAAAAGTATATAATTGCACTTTTTGCATGCATTAATGTAATGTTTTAAATAGTGTTTTTAAGAATCTTTTCTTTTACAAAATTTTAGTTTTGAATGAAACAATTTTATATGTATTCTTTTTTTTTCTATTATTTTCGATTTAGATTTCACATTTTTTATAAAAGAATATAATTTTTTTTTAAATAAAATTTTAAAGATAAAATTTTCTTGATAAAATTTTATAAGAAAATGCTGTTTAAATTAACACATGTATAATAAGAAAGTAATGTTGATAATGTTTGAGATAGTGAATAATGTGTATATAATGTGTATATCTTGTTTAAATTGTTAGAAAGCACATTTACACACATTTGATTAACCAGTTACATTATATTAGATTGCTTAATAACTTTTATTTTTATTATTAAACTTTTAACTTTTAATCTATATATAACAAAATTAATCTAGAAAAAAAATAAATAAATGAATTGATTTTAATTTTACATATACTGTTCTTAGGATTGTTATCTTTGAATATGTTTATGTTATTATGAATACAATTAAGATATAATTGTAAAATTTTATAAGTATATTTTGCAGTTAACTGCGAGTAATATTTTAAATATTATATATAGTTATATTATTCTCTTATATTATTATATTACTTTACAGATTAAAGAGAGAAGAGTTTTGTTAAATAAACAATCTTAACATATCTTAACTATAGAAATCTGATGAATATAATTGCTCTTTTTAATTCATTTATCAGGAAAATTTTTATAGATCACTTTTATAATATGTATCAATCTTAATTAAATTACAATTTCGCTATTGTTTAATTTTCTATAGATTAATTTTCTTTTATGGAAGAAAAGTTATAAAAGTTTAAAGCGATACAGAAATTATAAATTCTATATATTTGTATATTAATTGAGACATTTATTAATAATGGTCAATAAGATTTTTTTAATGTTATCATGCATTTAAAGTTTGTATTTAAAATTTTTTTGATCATTTTAATAAATGTATTCATTTCAAAAGTGATCATAACTTATATCTCATTTCTATAATTGTTAGTGCTTTATGTGTTTTTATGCGCATCTGTCATTATTTGATCAAAGTATGTTATGTAATATGTTTTCTATAATATAATTATAAATGTTATATAGCATGTAACTATATCACAATATTGAAACATACATTTAAAACTACATATTAATAATAGAATAGTTCTTTGTCGAATTTTATAATCAAATTCCTAAAAAAATATATTTTTTATGCTGCTATAAAATTATTAATTGTAACAGGGATATGGAAACGCAAAAATATCACTGGTGGAAGAAATGTATAAGATCACTTTATATATGGTATTCACATTGCAATTTTATTTGTTCTTATACAGTTTAATTTAAACTACACATTTTAATACCTTAATTTTGATTATCTTTTATCTAAATGTCTTTTATTGCTTAATTTATTATTTGATTATTATATAATTATTATATATAGTTACATATATTATATATAATTACATAATATGATTACTATATTTTTTTATAAAAGTTTTAAAAAATGGATAAATATGAAGATTTGTATTTAATACATTATATTGTGTTTAGTAATACATTGCTATTTTTTTTATTAGAAAATTATTTAATATTATTTACATTATATATTATTTAATATTACTTAATATATTACCTATATCTCTCTACAAACATGTAATATAGATAAATAATTAAAATGTTTACACAATATAGATAAATAATTAAAATGTTTACACAATATAGATAAATAATTAAAATGTTTACACAAATTTATATAATATAGAATTTATTGTTCTTTAAATGTATTGCTTCTCGCAATTTTAAATTAAATAGATCTAAATTTTTTTGCATATTTTATGCGAACTAGTATTTTACTAATATTTTACTTTTATTGCTTATTACTACTTATTGCTACTTATTGCTACTTACTTTTGTCAAAATAATAATTAACGGCAATGTATGGAAAACTTTTTATAATTAAAATCTTAAAAGATTGTAGTAAATCTATATTTTTTTAGCATAAATATATTGACAAATATATGTTTTTTAATTTATACATTATAGATTATAATTTATAGATTATGATTTGTGTTAATGTTTAAAAAAAAGTAAAAATGGTTTTTTTTTCAAGGTTTCTCGACATTTTAGAATATTATACATGCTATATTTTGTAGCGTGTCATGTCTTGATTAACTTGAACAAATATTTGAAAATATTTTTTACATGAATGCAGGCATGCTTATTGCATGAAATGTTATGCTTATTGACTTGTGTTATATTTAAATTGGTTCTTGTATCTATATGTTTATTTTGCATATATAGAAATGTAAATGTATATAGAAAATTACACATACACAAAAAGAGATAATTTGTATTGATTGTTGTAATTACGTTGCAATACGATTTTCAGTGTACGATGAGAGACTATATTAAGTGAATTGGAAATTTCAAGCCTCATTATGTTTAAACTATTTTATGCTTTCAGGCGTGATGTCGCGCCGAGGGCGTAGAAGAGCCCGCGAACTCGCGAGCAGAAGTGAAATTAGGCGTCACAAATGTGACGAGCCGGATTCTCCTCTACTCCAAAACGACAACTATCAACGCACGACCACTTCCTACGCCAGTGTGAACTCCAGCGATGTGACTGATCACCATGTAATATTCTAACAAAGAATCAATCGTTATCGACTTAAACGGATACAATTTTTGTACTTAGAAAGGACTGAAATGGATTTAATTAAGTGTCAATAGTGTTTTTTATCTCGAACCATTGTGAGTAGAAAGAGCTGCGTGTTCTTCTCTCCTTCGAAATATAGGAAGTTTAATACGAATTATTTTTGTTAAAATCTTCCAGACTGGTGAACATGTCCATCTACGTTCATATCTGGCATATATTATATTTTAGCGACAAATAAATTTGTATAATCTTAGGTCTTTTTCATTTTTAGCATATTTATTTCGGGCAAGGCTTTCTTTTTTTAGTTTGATATTATTAGATAGTCACAGAGATTGTATTCAAAATTAAAATTTCGTAATTGTGAACGCTTGATCGTATGCGTGATCGATTTTAGGTAGAATAATTTATCTAGAACAGGATTTTTGTTTTCATACATTATTCATACATTTATTAGGTAAATTTATAAATAATGTAACAGATATGATGAATATAAAATGCATTTTCCTTTTTTAATGCATTTTTTAATCGCAACGTGAATCTTTTGTTCTGATATCGATATCCAATTATTACTTATATAAATTATTACTTATATAGTATCGAAATACCGAGATTTATGAAAGAAATGTCAAGACTATACTGATATGTGAATTATCTAAGAAATTAATATTGTTGATCTATTAAATAACTTACAACAATTTATTTCAGCAATAATATCAAAAATAATATTGCATTTATGTTTAAAAAATTTTTTATATATTTGGAATTATAATTAAATCTATGATAAACTAAATATTTATAATTAATTATAATTAATTATAAATTGTTCTTATGCCATCCATAACTGAAATGCAATGTAAAAGTTGCATGGAACGCGTAGAATCACAATTAATATTTAAAAGTAAAAATGATATCTATATCAGGATTCAAGTTTTCAAGTCTTATGATAATTAGTTCCATGGTGATGTTATATCTATTCAAAATCCAATTATGTGAGTCTTGTGTTGAGTCTTGTGAGATTATGTGATTGTTTCATCAATATATCTGAATTAATTTTTTACATCATATAACTATATAACACTAGTTATATCAAATGATGTAAGAATTTCGTCAATAAATAATCGTTAATAAGTAGTTATTACAAAATTTTTTATAAATTAATTGATTTATTGATATAATTAATATGTGTGTGTAAGTTCTGTAATGTATATCTTTGTTATGATAATGTTATATATCTTCACCATGGTAACTTATGAGTTAAATTTCCGTCGCGTAAAACGCATGATTATCAGTATTGTCGATTAAACGTATTGTTTGCATTTTGTCTATTCCTTGAATAAATATCGGCTTACTTTGCCAAGTTTCGAATTTACGATGTTAAAATATGAAATCAAGGCCAGGCAAAGTAACAGTTTATTCCCTTGTCGCTAGCTTACTATGGATCAATAAACATTTCAGATTCAAATCTTTTACATTATTTTTTTTTTATTAAGTACACTACTTTTGAGATCACTTTTTAAAAACTATATAAACAATTCGAGTGTCTATTTTTTTCTTCCAGTTAATTATTAAATATTTAGACAATACAAATATTAGAAAGGAGAACATATAAGAGCTTTAAATCTATTTAAATTTTTGAATCATTCTTTTAAATACCGTTTTATGTTTTATTTGATCGGCTAAAATTTTTTTTTTTAGCTTCTCTCTTGTTTATTAAGATACTTATAATAGTATAATGCAAAAGTAATGTATAGATACGTAAATTTTTAATTGACTGGAAATAAAAGGAAACAAGATTATTATGAAAATAAATTACAAGATAATAAATTATTTTAGCAAAAATACCATTACCTCAAATCAAGCATGAAATTAATCATTGATGGAAATAAGACATTATTATAATTAAGAGATAATTGTTTCTAATTGTTTCTCATATATGCGAACAAATTAGATAAGTTCTCTCTCAACACATTTAATATAAATATAAATCACGTAGATGATTCATATATTATCATTATTTCTAAAATGCCTTTTTGTACACAATAAGAGATTAAAAGTATTAGGAAATACAAAAGACTCGCTTTATTTTTCATAACTGAGTTATTTGTATAATAGTTATACATGCAAGTTACATATATATATTATGTAAAAATTTAATTTTGTGATCCTTAGTAAGCAAAAAAGGAACTTAAAGGAACAAAATATGAATCTTTTAATTAATCCGAACAATCGACTGGTTGAAAATATCTTCGTTATGAAATGAAATTTGAAGTTAAAATCATTAAGAATCGCAAAATATTCAATCAAATATTTTTTTCTTTAATAAGTTTTTCAATTTTACATTAGACCGAAATAAATGCGTTCTGTTTTCAACGAAAAATTCAATTACTAGTTGATTATTCGGACATAAATTTATTATGATCTAGCCAAATATTTAGCGTTATGTAAGATTTTCCTCGAATGAAAGAGAATGAGATAGTTTATATTAATCTCTAGGTTTCCAATGTAATAGATTTGCCAACTTTATTTACTAGTGCGCTTTATAGGTGTAAGTTCTCTATGATGTGCGTCATTTTTGCTCGATATTTGTGACAGGTTTGCTTGATTTGTAGCAATGTTTTTTTGTATATGTGATACAAATTGTAAATGGAATAATCACTAACATCAATATGTTTTAACTTGCTTGATACTTATTTCCCAATCGATAAAACTTCTCATCACGGTCTTATAAACACAAACGTTTTATACAAGGTATAATTTTTATACTAATTATCGAGCGATATATACAATTAAAAGAGAAAAGAACTTGTTAGATACGACATTGTTAATGTTTCTCAAATTGTCATTGCAATGTATTCTATATACTTGCAGATAAATGTGTAAGACATGAAAAAGAAGACATGGCTGCGTTAAATATTATAAATCGTATACATAAAAATATGTCGTAAATGTACAAGTTTACGGATATATGTGTATTCGATATATGTATGAGGCGATATTTTTTGTTAAATTTAATATACTACATGATCCGTTTCAAAAATATTTATCATAAATGATCTTTGATTTATACTGCACCATGTATATGACAAAATGCATATCAATAGAAGCTTCGGTATAAATATGAAGCATCGTGAAGATACGAAGAAGTATAAGCATCAAGTTAAATTAATATAATGACAGATAAAGAAATAAAAGAGAAGTACTGAGAAATATTTGAAATATAAAGCATATAAAGCGTACTGTCACATAAATATAAATAAATTCTCCTGTTTGTACCATATAATTTGCCTATATATTATTTCATTTAATTACATTTCAAAGTTTGTGGTGTTTCCGTAATTTATATTTTTCTCTATTATATATACATATAATGCATTGATATATTGTGCGCACGCATACGCGCGCACATACAGAGATTACACACAGAGATTACATATGTAAATTATTTTTTTTAATCTGGTTAATTATTGAATAATTGAAGAAGTATGTCAACTATCACATTTTTTAAAAAAAAAGAATAACTTTTAAAAGAAATTAACATATTATGCATTTTTTATGATCTTTCTGAATTATCATTACGTATTGTTTTTATAGATAGTGGAAGATTTAGTAATAGAAAAGTAATAATTTAATTATGCGATATTATAAAAAAGAGAATTGTTGCAACATTTTTTGCTTTGCATTAAATGCATAATATGTATATTGAAATCTATATATTTAATAAGCACCTAAAAACGATATTGATTCTTAAAATCTTTTCTTTTATTTATATGCGAAAAATGAGAATTTTTCTAATTAACTTACATTTACAATTGAAAAGTTTATAAATCAGAGCATAATTGAATGCTTTTTTCCACATATATGTAATGGCAGGAACGATTAAATATTATTTAGAATTTTCAATAGTATGTTTCACTTGAGATAAACGATATAATGTGTGTACATTAATATATCAAATTATTAATGATAACATAAGTTTAACTTTAAATTTTTATATATTTTT